CGTCACGTGGCCGTCTAGACACCGTGTCGCTTTAAAAAAAAAAAAAGCGATTGTGTTTCGCAAACAACAGATCGGGTTTCTAAAAGCTATTTCTTCCCCCCCGTCCCCCCCGCCCCGCCACCGCCACCCTGTCCTGGGTCTGCAGTGAGGGGATTGATGGGGGGCAGTGAAGATGGGGAGTGGAGACGCTCCCGGAATCACCGAGACCTGACCGGAGCAGAGGACAAATGGGGAGCCCCGAGAGGACCTAGCGAGCGAGTTCTGGAGCGGAACCGGCCGGTCGGTGGCCCCATTTAGACCCAGCCAGCCCAGCCTCTCCGTGGCCGTCCCGCGCGCGCTCGCCCCAGCGCTTCATTCATTCGTTTTGTTTCAAGGCCCTGGCGGCGAGTCCCCCCTGCGCGCCCGGGGAGAAGGGGGAGGAGGGCGCTGTCTCGGTTTAAAAGACATTTACACTGGACTGGAACGAGGCCCTGGGAAGTGTGCGCTGGAGGGAACAGCCGGGCCGCCGAGGGCGGGGAGGCGGCGTGAATGTGACCTCAGCGGCGGCCGCGCGCTCCCTCCCGCCCTCTCCCGCTCCGGGCTCGGGTTTCTAGGACTGCCTGGAGAAGTGTGTCTTGTGCACAGCTCTGGAATGCATTTGGCCGGCTGACGAGCTGCGAGGGGCAGCATCCTGGGGGGAGAGGGGGTGGGGGTGGGGGCTCGCCCGCCCGCCGCTAGCAGGTTTCCTCCAGAGCCCGGAAGACCTCGCCACCCCGCCTCCCGGCGCGGGAAGGTTACCTTCCGAGCAGACCTGCTGGAGCATGCATATGCATGAGGGCCCTGTTCGTGCGCTCTGCGCGGCCTCGTAGCTGTCAAGGTGCTATAGCGTCTGAGAGTTTATGCCCCTGACCCCAGGGTGGGAAGAAACAGAGGCTCCACTGGCCGGTTACCCCTGGAAATGGGTATGGCATTAGTCGGGCACAGCCCCAAGACGCACACTCAGGGAAATAATATATTGTTCTAATCATTTAGATATGTGAGATCAGGACGATAATGAAACTCGCTGGAGATTTTAAGGAAAAGGTGAAATGTACTGTTTTCATTTCCCAGCTAAATAGTACCTTCTCAAAAGGACAAGGGCAAAAAAAAAAAAAAAGTCTCTGTCGCTGACCTTTTTAAATAGATGCTTAATAGGGAGGGATCGAGAGTTGGGTGGGACATATAGGGGCATTTGGAACACTCCCCCAACGCACCAAAAACATCTTTGGAGATAAAAAATATATATGTGAGAGGAAATCGGCAACATTTGTTTACCGGAGCATCTCCAGGCAAGGGGGTCCTGAAGTTTATTGGCCTGGAAGACAAAAGCCTGCCCAATTAAAATGCTGCTGTTTGAAAAGGGCTTTAAACTACACGCTAGGGTGGGGGTGGGGGTAACTTCTGAAGAAAACCTGCACAGAAAGCAGTCAAGAAAGCATAGAAGGAAATGGAGGAGTCAGACTGGATGTGGGTGAGCCCAGCATCACCGGCAGGGAAAGGCTGAGAAAGAAGTGGTATTTTTTAGGTATCCAGTAAACCTACAATATACACAGACTGTCCGAACAACAGCCCGAAAACCTGACGCCAGGCTGGGACACTTAGCTCTGCCATTCAGGGTTAAACCACTCCCAGGGGAGGGGAGGTTCACCTTAGGCCAGCCCTTGGACAGGTTTAAAAAGCTTTTGGGGCATGTTTCCTGCCCCCAGGGCTTTATTCTCTCTCCCTGCTCTGGGCCCCACTCTAGAGGCTAGGCCAGGCTGCAAAGTGACAGGAAGGACTAAAATAAACAGAAAGCAAATGTCCTAATTCTAGTTTAGCTTTCGGGCTAAATGGCGGATCTGAAGACTCTTGGAAATCTGGCCTATGGTATTAAGGCTGATGAGAGCCAGAGAGCACCTGGGGCAGGTAGGGTTAGTGGGTGTTTCAGAAGTCGACTCTGACGTCACAGCTTGTCTGGGTGAAACATGCATACACTTGCAGAGATATGTTCCCATATAGTGTGATTGTGGGTGTTTTAACTCAGCGTCACCCTACCTGGCCCTCTCTACATGGCTTTCCTTCTGCATTTTACTACCCTACGTAGAGGATGGGTGAGATGCTGGGGAAGTGGCCACAAGGGTTGGTGCTGCTTTATAGCCCCCTGGCATCCCCTGCGCCAGTTAACTTCCCAAGCCTTCCTGAGAGCCAGCCCCACCCATCGCTTTCTGACTCCTTTCCTTTCCAAAAAAGAAGCCGGGCGCTGAGAGGAACTCTGGGCTGTCCGCTGTGCCTCGAAAGGGAGTTCCTTTCTTTCCGTCCACAGGCACACATGAGGCTGACCGGAACCCGGTTTCAAACTATTCTGACCCTGAAAAAAAAAAATGCTTCTTCACCAAACTATTGTGAATGAGTTTGATTCTAATCATTTGTTGGCAGGGAATATGGAATAAAATATCTCATTTGCAAGTTGTTTATTTCCTGTTGTGGCTTCTATTTTCATCTTTTAGTCACTTTGGTGATAGTAATCAAACCCTAATCATGGTGCGGCCACAAGTCACAGAGACCAAAATAACTTGCAGCAGAGTCATGACAAACAAGGATGGAGTCCG